CTCAAAAAAAAAAAAAAAAAAAAAATTCATGTCCCCTAGGCCTACCTTACATGGTTTGTCAGGTAGGATTATCAAGGTAATTTTCGAAGGCACACCTCAATACTGCCTCATTAACCTTCTGACATTTACTTTGCTTTTCCTAGCAGTCTCTATAAATCCAAGTGTTAGGGTGCTTAGACATAAATAACAAGCTTTTATTCTGAAAAGGCTAAAATCTGAGAAGATACTGGGGAAAATGCGTCTACCCACTTAACTCTCCTGAGTCCTAATTTCCAACTATAAATTAGCTACAAATCTATTCGTATGGCTCTAAAAAATAACTTTTCTAGAATAAAACTAATTCTTTCTAAGTGGAAAGCAAACTATTATACCTGTAAAAGTTTTACTTTTAGCCTTCATTAAGCAGGTAACCTAAACGCCTCACCATTTATCTCCAGAATGAAACTCTTCGAATCTTAGTGTTGCATATTAAATTCACATGACTCTGAAAGGAATTTCATTATAGCAACCTTGATATGTAAATAAAATTTCATAAAACTTCATTTATTCTTCAACACACTTACCAAGGGAACTGCAAGTTCATGTCAAAAATTTATTACCAAATGGTAATTTGACTATTAGTTTCATATTTTTACCTATTTATTTATTTTGAGACAGAGTTTCACTCTTACTGACCAAGCTGGAGTGCAATGGCATGATCTCAGCTCACTGCAACCTCCGCCTCCAGGGTTCAAGCGATTCTCCTGCCTCAGCCTCCTGAGTAGCTGGGATTACAGACACACGCCACCACGCCCAGCTAATTTTGTACTTTTAGTAGAGACAGGGTTTCTCCATGTTGGTCAGGCTGTTCTCGAACTCCCAACCTCAGATGATCCACCCACCTCAGCCTCCCAAAGTTCTGGGATTATAGGCATGAGCCACCACACCTGGCCATATTTTTATTTTTACATGTGAAAACATATACTCAAAGTAGAATGTATCAAGATTATCTTAACCTCTTAAGGATCCTCAAAAGTTTACATCAAAAAGCCTGTTTTCAGCCTTTCAAGGTAACTCAAGTTATACAAAAAGGCATGAAAAGCCAACTACAATCCCCAAACAGCAAGTTATAAGGGTCAGACCCAATGTTACTTATCAGTATTGAAACACTCATAATACCACAGCTACCCTTTAGAGCATCACTGTCCAGTAAAACTTCCTGCAGTGATCACTACTGAGCACTTGAGATGTAACCAGTGTGATTAAAAACCTGATTTTTCAGTGGCTGGTAACTGCTGGACAACAGAGCTTTAGAATCTTAACTATGCTTTAATATTCAGAAACTGGAAATGTAAGAAAGGCACCAAAAATGATGGTAAAAGGCTCTTCCAAAAACTGGGAAAAAGAGAATCTTAAATCTGTAGAATACTATTACCAAGCTGTCATCGACAAGCCTTAGTTTCTACCAATACACTATAGATTAGCATGTTACCTAATGTATAAAAATGAATCTGTGGTAATATTCTAGGTAGGATAATGGGCAACTATTTACAGACTTTTCACCTTTGCTCTAAGGTGAAATTGACATAAAAAGTATCCTGAAATATAATTCTCAGGTTAATAAAAACTGCCCAAATTCTTTACTCTCCCCCCCTCAGCAACAAAGCAGACAACTGCTACCTATAAAGCCTACAAGGGTGTCTGAGGCATAATGAAATTACATAATGCAATGGCACCATGTAACATGCATTTCATGACCTATATTATACATATCAGTGGGCCTTTTACATTTTTCTCATTTAGAAAATTCTTCTAAATCAATTTACTCCTTTTGTTCACACAACTGTTGACAAAAAGAACAAGTATCTTAAGAGACTTCTTAGAACATAAGTAAAAGGATATAAAGGAGCTAAAGATATCTGTTAGGATGGGGTGAGTCAGATAAAGAAACACCTATAACCAGAAAATTATTTTCTATATTGGTAATTATAGATATCTCAAAAAAAGACATAAAACTTTAAGAAAACAGACCTAGAGTAAAAGCATTTGGTCTGTATAGAAAACATGATTTTAGACTATTTAGCAAATATTAAAATATAAAGAGGCTAATACATAAAAGAGCAAAATAACAACTACAAAAATAAAAGCCACAGAACGTCCCAGTTATGATGTGTTTGGTTGGCTTTAAAAAGTGAATTACAAATCTTTTTATTGTATCATAAAAAATTCTCCAGTGTATAACAGACTAAATGAAGTACAACGGGAAAACAAAAAGATAACCTACTAAATGGTTCAGAGAAATTCAGCGTTAACCACATAGGAGAATCTAGGAAGAATTAATAACAAGGCTGTGTATTACACATTCCAGCAGTGCTAGGACCTGTATGTGTTTAACTTCCAATTAAAATTTTCATTTTACTCCAGGAAGTTTTCCTATACATTTAGAACTTATAAATTAAAGAATGTTTAATTCCATTGGGATGTGAAAATATTATTTGGTAATACAAACCAGCAAACTACTTAAGATAAAGATGATGTTAATACCTAAGCATTCACTAGACCTTAACAATACTACCTCTGGACCCCTAAAACATTTGTTTGATACTACACCCATGAAAACTCCACACTAATGAGTGAGTTATTACTCCACTTATGTCAAAGATTACATTCTAATCTTCTACCCAATAAATCTTTGCTAAGTTTATTACCAAGAATTAATGCCCCTGAGGACTATTTTTAAAATATTAGTTATCCAACATTTTTATTTCACTGTTTATAAATCAAATTCACACAAATACGGTGAAAGTTCTGTAGTCACTCCTTACTGAGGATGATGCTGGCTGGTGTCTGAGTATGAAGACGATGCTATGGCAGTACCGCACACAGTCTGATGAGTTGTTTTTCCATAAGAAATGAATTTATGCTGCTCCATCCACAATGTCTATCCATTCATACTCATGTCAAAGAGCATTCATATGCAAGACAATTGGTGGGATTAAGGATTATAGCAAAGCTAATTCATCCCTCTTCGGGAGCTAAAATCTGTGATCTTTGCCTAAATGTTTTATGCTCAAGAACAAAGAACCACAAACTCCATTTATATTTATTAAAATGAAAAAGACTGGTAGATAAAAATAAAAGATACTATTCAGTTCAAAGGGTGACCATTTAAAAGAGCTATCTCCTTTTACTCTAGAAGCCTTCATTTCAAACTCTAACAAGGAAATCAAAAGGGTCAATGCTCCCATAAAATGTTACTGAAAGTATTTCACATTTTGTATGTCTCTAAATAATAAACATTGATAATTGTATAAATAATAGATTCATGACTTTTACCTTCTATAAATTTTAAATTGTGACACTTTCCTCTACATGTTTTAACATTATTGCCAGGTAAAAGTGCAGAGATATGAAAGCAAAAGGCAATCCTGTCTCTTTGCCCTAGTATGTTGGGATTCTTGTTTAGAATTAATCTGTATGTTCCTTTGAGTCTAATCTTCTAAGTAACTTAAAGAGGTTATATATCAAATAGTTATACATATCGTCCCAAAACAGACATCATCTGCTTTATTCATTTAGCCCTTTGAAAAGAATTGTTAAATAATTTTACCTTCTAGGATTCTTCTTTGGTAAGAAAAATTTTTTAACAAAAAAATGTCACCATTATTTGTTTCAACTTTTCCCACCAGATTTCTTAAGAATAATTATCCTCAACCTTTAATTAAAATCTGACAACTTTTGATGACAAACAAGGCTAAGGCACCACACTCAGTGTTAAGATTGAAAATGGCTGAGTACTGAATTTCAAATACACACACTCTCTCTCTCTCTCTCAAAAAAAGTGTAAGCATCAGGAGTTTCTAAGCACTTTCCCCATAGATGAACTGAAGAAATTCAAAAGGGTTATGCTCACTTATCTTCTCAGGAAGATCCCTTGGAATTCTGCAGTATTTGTTAAGTCTTCACTTCATTGGAAAATATTTGTCATACAGACTCTCTCCCTATTTTTTCCCCAACTCTTTGTTAACTGCTTACTCTGCAAGAAATTAACTAGTAAAAGCATACATATTAGGATTTCTAAGTAAGTTTGTTCAGCCCTCTTGCATGGTTTATATTCGGCTACTACAAGAAGATTAAGTCAGCTGCAAATGTCAGTTAACCTTTCTCTCTTGAGATATGCAGGTAGCCTGATTTGGGGATTAACAATTCAAATGGTGTCACTAAAACATTATCCAAACCAACTATCCCGCCCCTCCCGACCTTAACTGGTGATGGGACAACTTGCTTCATTTGTTGAATCTCATGGGAATACAGATTATCACCATTAACTGAAAGTTACACTGGCTAGTTATCATGTCCAACTTCACTGTATAGAAGTTGTTCCCTCAAAATGCTGCAGGTCGAACAAACAAAAAGTGAAAATGTCACCTGTGAATAGCTTGGGGGAAAAAAGTACTACTATCAAAAAGTTTCTGATTTGGGTTCTGTTCACTTTCTGATTTTATAAACAGGATTTATTTGTAGAACTGGAAGTGTTTACTGGAAGATGATGATATGGCCAAGCCAAAGAAGGGAACCTGCAGTGAAGAGTACAGGTGTCTCTTGACCTACATATCCCAGAACTGTAAGAAAAACGTCCGGATGGGCATCAGATATCTAGTCCAGTCCTTGGACAAAAGTCTGGGCTTTGGAAACCAGGGGCAAGAGGTGATGAAAACTAATCTATAGTATTTAAAATTCCCACCCCCCTATTAAGACTCCACCCTCCCACATCCCCCAAGCGTGATTTTGCACAACAAGTTAAATAAAAGTAAACTGTTTATTAAAAGATACAGCAAAGGTACAGATACAGAGATACATACAAAGATACATATATATATATATTTACATATATATACAGTCTTGCTGTTTTCATGTGCACTATATTTAGCAGCACATTATTTAATCAGGCGGCATTTTAATGGGGTTGTTTTGACACTTGGCATTATTAAGATACAACTATAGCCCCATAGAAATTTCAAGGTGTGAATTCCACTTCTCCGACTTTTAATAGTAGCAAAGAGGGGAAGGAGAAGGGAATGGAGTACCAAGGCTGAGCATTAGGTTAAACACAAGAATTTAAAAGGGCCAAGGTAGCAAAGGGAAGGAAAAATAATAACTAAAGGCTATCTGACAAACAACCCAGAGAAACAGTAAGAAACCATCATTAAGGGCAATGGGCTATGTACCCAAGATGCTCACATCAGCCTACAATGACCTTTTCCAATCCAGTTCTTGTGTTGAACCTGAGGATCCGCCCCTCTCCACTCAATCCCTCCACCCAATAAATTTGCTACCACCAAAATCTAGAGCTATAGAGCCTTGAAGCAAATCGGGAAGCTAAATAGTTGTACCTTGGACTACCTTCCCACAAGTGCAGGGAGGGCCCAATGTTGGGTAGGGATGTGATAACACTGTTCTCTGCAATTCGATGCTTTTCACTTTGTGGCTTGGTTCCACAAAGTGAATTGCATCGAGTTACTGTCAAATGAGAAGCTGCGGGTTGTTTCATCTGTCGTCTAACCCGGCCCTGCCGTTTAACCCGGCCCTAAGAAGAGTGAAACAGAATCCAAATCAGATATAAAATAACAATGAAATGGCAGATTCAGGTATAAAAAAGGAAAAGTACATAATATTTCTCCTACTTACCTCAGAGGGCAAATTGCTGCTGAAAACATTATCATCATCTTTGTTTTCTTCACCATTTTTCTCTACAGGAACCCATTCTCCATAAACACTATCTGCTTCTTTTTTCCGATGTTGAGATCCGGATGATACAGGGAATTCTTTTGTTAATGTTACCTGGCTTTTTGGTGGAGTTGGCTTTGCTGCAGCAATCTACAAAATAAAGTGTTTCTTAATTAAAGCTCCATATAGTATAATCTGAAGGAAATTATATTGTCCATTATTTCTCTCAGTATTTAAAACAAAAATTAATAAACTGAATTCCACTTGGTTTCATTTAAATAATTCCACAAGTTACACTGTTTTACCAATCCATAGCACTAATACTCACATTTAGATTGAAAAAAATGGGTTTGGGTTCACTGAGTTTAAAGGGATGATGATAAAAAGGAGGTTCTTCTTCCTCTTCATCCGAAACATGAGGTTTATTCACTATTACATCATCATCTTCTTTACTCTGTGCGATCTGTTTACATTTCTTTAAAAGTAAAAACAAACAAAAGATAAATCTTACGCTTTATGTAGAACATGTAATTTCTTAGAATCAAAACCATATAAAAGCAACTTTCAAAAGTTAAACAAGATTCATGATAGGTTATAGATACGTGACTTGGCATATCAACTACTATTTTACACACTCTGGCTGGTCAGTCAATAACATTTATTGAGCACCTACTATGTGCAGAGAGAGCACTGTACTGGGCACTGTCTGGGGAATACAAAAAAAAAAAAAAAAAGAAGAAGACATGGTCCCTGCTCTCAAGGAGCTTACAATCTAGAACAAGAGAAGGAATACATATACATGAAATAATTGAATGCTTTTACAGAGCAACACAATAACAAGTGCAAACTGATATAATACAAACTGAGTACATAAGTGCTAAAAGAACAAAGGCTTAAGAGAGAATAGAGTCAGGCAGAATTAAGAGAATCAAGGAATATTCCTTGAAGACTTCTAAGCCAGAATTTCATAGTGAAGAATAAAGACTGGTAGGGAAAGGAAAAATCATCCTAGTCAGGTAGTGGTAAAAGGGTGAGAAGAAACTTAGAGGGGACAAGAAGGCTGAAGATGGGGCTAAAAACAGGAAAATACTGAGTGTCCAAAGCATTTTGGATAAGGAGCTTGAATTAGGTAAGCAAGCAATAGAAGCTTTTACAAGGTCCTTAATTTTTTTACGAAAGTTGTAATTCATATTTTAATAAATCTAAGTGAGGAAACAGATTCAGAAGCTTTACATTTTCCCAAATGTATGGCAAAACAAAAGATCTGAAATATTTGCAACAGGATTAGATAGCAACATGTCTCTCCATAAATGTTTTGTGGGTTGAGTTTAAAGAGAACTTAAGAAAGGAAAATAAGGCATGATGGAGAGGGTGCAATTGATGAGGTCTGACACATAAAGCAAAGTCAATTCCTTCCGAGATGCAAAGGAACAGACTCCATTACCTGGCTTTATAAAAACGTCAAGAGTAAATCTGGGTAGACCTGTCTCTATACAAGCAGTAGATTTAATGACATCTATTATCAATCGAAAATATTACAATAGGATAAAAAGCTCATTTCGCCAAAAACACAGAGTATATTAAGCTTGTAACCAAGGGGAACAGAATATATTGACAGTGGCAGGCTGGCATAAGGCTAGCCAATAACAAGTTTCAATATATGAAACAGTGTGGTATTTCTGGATCCTAGCAGCAATATTTCAGCATCTCCCCCCTCCCACCCACACCAAAAAAATAGTAATAATAATAAAACAAAGCCCCAAAAAAGCCTCAATTGAAAAGATCAAACTTTTAAAAACAAAAATAGGTGTGTTTAAAATATATATGTTACTGCCAAAACCCGAACCGCAGGAAGAACTGATAATGGCCGGCCATTATCGCTAATGGCTGGTACCAAACAGCCAAAACCCGAAATGTTGATGCGAAAGAAGTTCCTTTCAGGCAATGGCCAGCTATTCTTAATAATTTCCAAGCTCCGGTGGCAAAAGATCATTTCTGAAGATTGTCTGTGTCTTTGCGTATATGCAGTATACTCGTGGCGATCAGTGAACACGTCGTGAATGGAAACGAAACTGTAGGCGAGCTTCTGCGTGTTGCTCACTCAACACCTCCTCCATTCAAACGAACCGTCCCACTCCTCAGTCAGTTTGGCTTCTAAAACTGGAAAGCAAAAGTAATGGGAAGTAACTTTTAGCTAGCGGAGCTTAGCCATCCCGGATAATGGCCTGCTAAACAGAGCTTCTGCCGCTGCCACATCTGTATTTCGGGTTTTGGCCACTCGGTGCCAGCCATTATCAGTTCTCCCCACAATTCGGGTTTTGGCACGCTCCAGAGTCAACATCACTGGAATAATCCATTTAAAAATGAAAACAAATTCTGCCTAGCTTACCTCCGTTAGTTCTTCTATAGTAGCTCCTCCTGACTTTTTAGCAACTTTCTCTTCTATAGTAGGTGGAGGTGCAGGCTTCAGGTTTGGCGGTAAAGGAACACCAGCCTTAGCACACATGGCAGCTGCATTAGCTTTGGCTATTTCAAGTAATTGAGCCTTATCTGTAAGAAGAAAAATATAAGCTACATTTTTCCTAAAAGGCTGTACATTTTATATTTCCAAAAGTCTAACAAGCTAACAAAACTAAAGGCATCCTAGGTCCATCGAAGAACTTGGGTATCTAATAAAAAAGAAAAAAAAAAAAGGAAAAAAACTATAGGCAACAATATTCTGCTCTGAAGTTATAGCTGTGACCAAACCACTGTGGTTCAAAGTTTTTAAGCAGTGGCCTCATTCAAAGAATTAAGTCCACACACTGAGCTTCCCATTCGAATACTACAAAAAACAGATTACTACACAACTACAATCACCACCCTACTACACGCTAAGATACAAACCTGCCAAAGCCAATTTAAATCACTCTCTGTACCACCTCTTATTTTTTTATAGGAGACAGAGGTCTCGCTGTCACTCAGGCTGGAGGGCAGTGGTGCCATCTTGGCTCACTGCAACCGCCTCCCAGGTTCAAGCGAATTTTCCTGCCTCAGCCTCCCAAGCAGCTGGGTCTACAGGCACGTGCCACCACACCTGGTTAATTTTTTATTTTTAGTAGACACGGTATTTCACCGTGTTGGCCAGGCTGGTCTTGAACTCCTGACCTCAGGTGATTGCCACCTCGACTTCCCAAAGGGCTGGGATTGCAGGCATGAGCCACAGTGCCTAGCCTATGGGCCATCTCTTCTAATAAGTTGTCATTAAGTCAGAATTAACATTCCTTTTCCCACTGTGTTTCTAAAGCACCTTATCTCTATCAGTATTATAGTAATGACATTCTACCCTTTTTTAGACAGTGTTACTATTTGGTAAAAGAGACATGTATGCATTTTACTCATGTCTCCACCAACTTGTAATCACTTGAGGAGTTACATACTGTTCCTCTGCTTTGAATAAAAAACAAAAAACTTCTGTTGAACTGAATGCAGATTCTCCCTTTTTAATCTCAACCTGTTTTTCTTTAGACAATCCTGGCCTAGAAATGTCCAATATACTGGGATAACGATAAATTATCCATACTTACTGTAGGTAATCATGCATATCAATCAAGTTTTAATCCTCTCTGCACACTATTTAAAATCAGGGGAAATTAGAGCACTTATTTTTAAAGTAAAGCAGAACAGATTATTAAAAATCACTCTGATCTAAAATATTTAACTTTATTTACCTGGTATCATCTACCCAATTAAATAACCCCCACATTCGAAATTCCCTACTCACTTCCATTACCAACTATACCAATCAGAATTACCTTCGCCAACATTTAACAGTCCTATAATGCCATTTTAAGATATGTTAACTTATTAAAAAAGGAACATTGTAATTTTAGGCTTATTTCCAAGGATGCATGTTAGAATACATACAATATCAATCTAAGCATATACTTAGCTTGTTTTTAATTTAGCTATAGTTGTACATCTGCTTCTGCTTCCCATCTTTAGCTATGGCAAGATAACTGAAACAAAATAAAACATTCTAGTGTGGAAACACCTTGGTTCTACTATACTCCAAAGCAGATCTTTTTAACTCCAATTACGATACACTGATCCTGGTATTTCCTAAATACAGGCCAACTTATTCATAAAAACTTAACAACAAAAATATCCTATACCAATAACTAAATATTTCACTTGACTCAAAATCAGAAAAAAGTAAGGTTCAGAACATTCTGTTACAATGCCATTAAATTTTAAAATAATGACTCACCCAAATCTGTCAGACGTTTGGGTGATCTGCCTCTCTCAGAAGACCGGGATCTTTTACGACGGATGGGAGATCTGCTAAACCTTCTTCTCAAGGGTGTTCTTGATCGCCTTAATCTGACTGGTGATATACTGAAGCTTCGTCTTCTTACCACAGACCTTGATCTTCTCCGGCGGCTGGGGGTGCGGCTCCTGCGGCTGGGGGTGC